GGCGGGTTGGCGCGGGGCCCCGTCCCCCGGAGGTGGTGGGCTGGGGTTGAGCCTGCGGTGACCGGGACGGGACGTGCCAGCACCGCTCCTGCTTGGGCCCGTGTCCCCGCCACGGGTGTCCGTTACCGGGAGAGTCGTTCCGGGTGCCCTTCCCGGGGGGAGAAGGGTTGGGAGTTCCCACCCGAAGCAGGGCTTTGCTGCAGGGGCGGACGCGGGGTGGGTCTGTGGTGGTGCACGGCTGAACTAGGCAGAGAGGTGCTAAAATTCAGCACAAGGTGAAATTTTCTCTGAGCGTCTCTTTCATCGTTTCAGGAGTCTCCGAAGTCTACCAAAAGCACCACAAAGCCTGGCGGCGGCGGCGGCAGCAGTAGCGGGAAGGATGGCGGGGCAGAGAATTCGGAAGAGGTAAGGCTTTCGTCTTGGATACAGCAGTGTGCGTGTGCAAGTCATCTCTGAGGAGGAATAACATCTTTCATTCTAGCTACTTCAGGCTGCTCTGCCAGATAGCGTATGTCACCGGGATCTTAAGGAATCGGAGAAGACGGTGGCAAAGACTAAAGTTAGGATGAAGTTAGTTCCCCCTGAAAGTTGGCCCAAAAGGGACAATGACTACGGAAGAGACAGGATGAGTCTCATACCCTACAGCCCTGCAAAAAGAGATTTGGCACAAAGCTGATGGCGAGTGCTGCTCACAGAGGTGGGCAGAGCATGGTAAAGTTGGCTGCAGAGAGGGAAGAGTCACAGTTATCAAGAAGGAGGAAGCCTGACAGACGTGAGCAGCTTCCTTGCTCCTGTCAGAGCAAAGCGCAATAAACTCTCCTGTCACCTTGTGTCAGAGTGGGAGAATAGTGAGAAGCAATAGAAGAGGAACGTGTTCTTCTGAGGCATTTCCTGGGGGAGTGAGATTAGGAAGTAATGGATAGGGCACCTGAAAGAACAGAGGTAAACTGCTAGAGATTAAATGGTTCTCCTTTGATATAACAGCCTTGTTGCTGAGCACAACATTACTCACAAGAAGGCACAGTCTGTATTCCTAGCTGTGCAGAGTCTCTTTCACCCTCAATTTTGATGTTGCCAAGCTCGATGTGTTAGAATGGCCTCAGCAGAACGTGATGATATGATAAGCTGTGCTTAGAATTAGCAAAAATTTGGGTAAACTGGAACTTTTCTGGTAGACTTGAGTTTGGCACTCAAACAGTGTGGCTGTGGATTTTGAGACTTGGCTCAGGAGAGCGTTGTGCGCGTGTCCAAGAAAGCATGCATATGTGTGTGGTTTATTTTTTTTAATACTGCAATTTGGCAAACAAGCTGTGCCACTTCTGTGTCCGTAGAAGCCTGTGTGCTCGAGTCTTGTCTGGAACATGTTGCACTTGTAATTTGGTGGACTGGGGATAGGAGACATGTAAGGCTAATGAAGACTAGGAAGAAATCTGTAGTTCAGTGGGATGGTCGTAGTCAAAATAAGGTTATTTTAGTCTCCTTCAAAGCATAGATCTATGTTGCAGAGGCTCAGAAAATATCCCTACTACTAGCCACTCGGTTTCAGGGTCCAAGCCGTGCTCACGCCTAACGTGCCGTGTGGCCAGCGAGGAATGAGAAGCTGAGTTTGTTTGCCTCGGAGCAGGTAACAGTTTTGTAGATCCTCTTTTTGTACCCCATCCTGGTCTTGGCCTCTGCCCGTGTTATTTTGTGTATGCGGCTGAACACAGCTTGCTGGGAGAGCTGTCTGCTGACTGCAAGAAGTGAGAGAACTCCTGCCTTGACATCATGGGGTCAGGCTTACCTTTTATTTGTTTGGCACTATTTGTCTGCTGAGTTCACAGCTCTGGGAAGAGGAAGGAGAGCCTGGGTCTTGCAACGCAAGGGTGATGGATAGCCATCAAAGCAGAGCGCTCTGTCCTCATCCAAAGCAGCAGTGGGCTGTGGTGCTGCTCTCCTGCTTACAATTGGTTCACTAAGATAGGAAGAATAGCCCAGGCTACAAGCTTCTTTCTGTGACCTGAAACGGCACATAATGTCTGGTTGTGCCTGGGTGCAGAAGAAACTTAGAAGGGATGCGTCTAACCTTCCCTCCCACAAAACATACCCAGCCACTTCCTCATACTCCAAACAAAATTCAGCCCTTCTTTAAGATGGAAGGCTGGGTCTCCTTTGATCATAGGAACAGAGAGCAGAGCAGAAAGGAGACATCTCTGCAGTGCGCAGTGCCACAGGTCTCTTCTCCCTTTCCCTGTTGAGTTTGCAGTGAAGTTTGTTCTCTCTTGGTGCTTTCCTGTCTCTGGACTGCTCTGCTGCAGAATGGAAGAGAGCTCTTTGCTTGATAAGAAGAAATGTACACCAGTTTGAATGCGATTTTCCTGCTCTTCAGGAAGCACAGAAAGGTATTTTGACTTTCCCATTGGGGACCATGAGGAATTAGGTGACTTGTGCTGGGAGCGAGACTCCTTCTTTGTGTCAAAAGCAGGAGCTGGTTTGACTCGTGAAACACCAGGAGTGGTATTGCCTGGTGGGGTTGATGGGCTGAGCCTAGCCTGGATGCCTCTGCTGCCATTGTGAGAGTTTTGTGCCCTGTAAATTCCTTCATAGAGTTATGGTTAGTTGGTTGCCTTTTCTAGGGTGAAAGTTGTGTGCGCCACAGACTTTTCTTTCTTCTTCGTATCTCAATAGATGCTTAATGGGCTTGCAGCAGGCGAGCAGCATTTGGGCAGCCCTCTTTCCTCTCTCGCACCATGTTCCAAGGAACAGGGGAGGACTCAGCCCTAATTTATCCTGGTACCAGAAAGTTGTGACTTGTTTTGCAGGCAAGTCGTCTGGCTGGTGGAATGAGTAAAGCCTGTTGAAGAGCAGCTCTGGTTTAACAGATCTGAGCAAGTGCAGCAGATGAGGATGTCCTGTGGGGACCTCTGTGGAGGGAGATGAAGAGGGTAGGAGTCAGTCCAGAAACCCTTAAGCATAGTGCTTTGTTCTCTGCAGCGAAGAAGCTTTTAGTGGAGCTGATCTGGAAGGGCAGATATGTTCAAAAGCAGACGCATCCCCACAAGGGAAGGCAAGTGTTTGAGTTCCCTTGTAAGTACAGGGGTAGTGCGGTGCTCTTTTAGATGCCCATCTTAGGGTGAAGCTGTCTGAGGTGAAGAGCTAGCAGAGCTTGGCCAGCCCCTGGCTTTGTGTGGGCAATTTGGTCCAGAAGAGACAGCAACAGTGGAGGAAAACATGAGAGCAGGGAGTGGGAAATAAAAGGTTTGTTTAGTTCATTCCCTCTGGAACATGATAAAGATATGAATGGAGAGAATTTCTGCGTGGCTATTTAAGGAGAAAAAAGAAATAATGTCAGAGACCAAGGCAGCATTGAATGACAGGATGAGAAAGAGTTACTCCTCCTGGCCAGAAAGACTGGGAGAGGCAGCTGGGTGGGGAAGAGAGTTAATGACCTGGAAGTGGGAGCAGGGATTAGCAGCAGCAGTAAAGAGGAGAGAGGAGTTGCTCTGCAGCCTCAAGGGCAGCTTGGAGCCTCACTGAT